TTAATTCCTCTCATTTCTTCATTTATAAACATTTATTGAATATCTCCTATCTACTAGGTACTCTTTAGTCAGTAGTGAGGGATCCCAGCTCTCAGGGAGTATACATTTGTACTTTGTGTAGATAGGGTGTACTGTGTGAAGGGAAGGCAGAAGTAAAGATGGGTTGAAGAAAAAGTTGGGCAGAGGAAAAAACATGGAGAGGCTTGTGTGCATTGCTGAAGAGTTTAGACTTTATCCTAAGGAGCAAGTCAAGGGCTTTAGAAGAAAGATGAGGATGTTGGGGTATTAATTGATGGGAAAGAAAATGAGAGGTAGGTTGCCAGTTACAGGATTGTAGACAGGCTTAAAGAAGGGAGTGGCAGTTTAAATAGAGAAAGAAGGAGGGTTAAACGTTGAGAATGATTGATTGTTGAACAATTCACACAAAGCTATGTGACTTTTGAACTTGGGCTTTAGAGTCATAAAAATCTGGAGAGCTAAGCTTTGCCATTTACTGGCTTGCTTATCTTGATTCAGTGGCTTTTTTGTTTTTACTTTGGTCATCAGTAAAATGACACTATCCCAACTGTCCACCCACTGTATGCCTCCATTCCTTTCAAGGGTCGTCACTATTTAGTACATTTGGGAATAAAGATCATTTTACATCCATTCCTTAATTCCATATCTTAGCTGTGTCTCCTCAGGCCCACCATTTCCTTTACTTACGAATCACGTATTCAAGACCTTGTTTCTTTCATGTTTAATGAAACTTCAGGGTGAGGAGAAATTTTACTATGAAGTTGTGCAATTTAAAATTGATTATTAAGCATCCAATTTTTGAAAAGTCTGGTGTCCACTGGCCACCAGTAATCTCACTGGCCACTGTTTTTAAAATTTGTGTGTGTGTGTGTATGTGTGTGTGTTTTAAATTGAAGTATAGTTGACATACAACACTGGACACTCTTCTTTCTAGACTCTAGCCAGTTGCACAGGTATTGTGTTTCTCCTATCTTTGTCTTATCCTTAAATTTCCCATTATCTTGTTTTAACTGACCACGTTAATTAATTGTTCTAGTCTAGTTTATGCCTCAAGGGCCTCATATCTCAAAGGAGACTATCAAACTATTTTTTTAAACAAAGTCCATAAAGGAACTATGGTTGCAGTTTATAAAGTAGTGAATGCTATTCAGCTTGCCACCTATCTCAGGACTAAGGTGGTTTTGAGGACAAAATTATTAAAACCTTTTCATAGCTTTCAACAAGCACCACATGATTTGTTTCTTGCCTACTTTTTCAGTTTCAATTTGAGTTATTTTTCAACCAATGATATGTTTCATCACATAGTCTGTTCATTTCCTTGAGAAACTTGGGACATTTCTAGCCTCAGGGCTTTAGGCATGTTGTGTCCTCAACTCTTCACATTTTTCAATCTTTAGCTTCAATCTCACTTTTTTCAGAGACAACTTCTCTAGATTTAAATTTGTGTGAAGCCTGCAGCTATAATCTCTCTCTCTTTTTAAAAATAATATCTTGTTTGTAAGACCCATTACAATCTATAGTTGGTATTGCTCCATGTGTGATTATTTGAGATTTGTTTAATATTTATCTTTTCCAGTGGATTAATGTCCGTGATGGCAGGGACTGTGCCCTTTGTTTCACTATAGCATACACAAAAGGCTTCTGAGGTGCTTGGAATGTAGTAGGTAAACAATAAATATTTTATAAATTAAAATGGAATAAAATGGTGTCTGACACAAAGTAAATAAATACTAGCTAATATTTTTATTAGGTGTAGGAAGATATAGATTGGCACTCTAATTTTCTGGCTGATAGTGTTGACAATCATTCAACACCCTGGCGTAGTTTATATTCTGGAATGCATGAAAGCAGAGAGAATGAAAATCACCTCCATTTCCTTCCTAGAGATGATCACTGTTAAAGTATTATATGTATCTAGCTATTTATATATATATGTTACACATATCACTGTGTAAATTTCATTTAGGAGTTTAGTGTGATTTTCCCCTTTTCCCCCATGTGATTAAATTCTTTTGGGCCACCTGGCTGGCTCAGTTGGTAGAGCACATGACTCTTGATTTCAGGGTTGTGAGTTCAAGCTCCACATTGGGTGTGGAGACGAATGAATGAACGAATGAACGAATGAATGAATGAATTCTCTTTTACAGACCATTTTTAAAAAGTGCATACTGTTGCTTCATATGGGTATACAGAAATGTAACCAATTCCATCCACGTCACTAGAATTTTAGATTATTTTTAGTGTATCTCTTTTATAAACCTTAAAAAATTACATGAATCCCTCTGGCAATATCTTTTTTGTTTGTAAAACTATGAGAGCCAATAGAGCATAGTGATGAGGAGAGCATGGGCTCTGCAGGAAGACTGCCTGGTTTGAAGCCTTCTTTACTACATAATAGCTATGAGGCTTGGCAATGTTACATAGATTTCCTGACTTAGTTTCTTTATCTATAAAATGAGTATAATATTGTTCTCCCTTATAGGATTGTCATGAAAAGCAAATGTTATTCTAAATGTTGAACACAATAAAGCCTATAATAACTGTTAGCTACTTTCATGATCTCTAATTCTTTTTTTTTAAAGATTTTTTAAAAATTTATTTATGATAGAGAGAGAGAGAGAGAGAGAGAGAGAGAGAGAGGCAGAGACACAGGCAGAGGGATAAGCAGGCTCCATGCCAGGAGCCCGACGTGGGACTCGATCTGGGGACTCCAGGATCGCGCCCTGGGCCAAAGGCAGGTGCCAAACCGCCGAGCCACCCAGGGATCCCCCATGGTCTCTAATTCTTAAGAAAATTCTTAGTTGCAAAATAGGCTAAAAAGTTTAAATATTTTTAATGCTTGTTGCATATATTTCCACATTGCCTTCCAGAAAGGGTGGAGAAATTTGCACTACCCAACAATGAATATTTAAAATGATCATTTTCAGTTATTAAATGCTTAAAAATAAATATCTAATTATTTCACTTTCTTGGAATACTGTGATCATTGACTTTCTATATGTTTATTGGCAATTTGTTTTTCATGAATTATTTATTTCTTATTGTCATTTAAAATATTTTCTCTTCAAAAAACACATTCTCTTTAGGAGCTCTTCAGAGACTGATGATAATAACCTTTTCACTGCCATGAATATTGCAGTTATTTTTCCCGAATTATTATTTGCTTTTTAATTTTATGTTGATTTTCTTTTGTACAAAATTTACCTATTTTGGTGTCAAATCTATAAATCTCCTTTTTGCCATTTCTTATATGCTTAGATTTCTCAACTCCACTTGAATAAATATACATGTATTTTCTTTTATGCTATTGTATGGTTTTATATTTAAGTCTCTGATTCATGTAGAATTTATTTTAGAGTGTGATCCTAATACTGCAGCTTAATTTTTCCTCAAATACTCAGCTATTAAGGCAAGATTAATTACTCATCATATCTCATGGTTTTGAAGTTCACCTTATCATATACTAAATTTTTATGTTAAGATATGTTTCTGGGTTTTAACATGCTTCCATAATTATTCTAGTCTATAGTCTATCTAATGGTATACATCCCTCTTCTATACTCCCCCCCTCCTCCAAGTATGCCATTTACTATTTACCCAGTGTTTTGGCTTTGTTTTTCTTTTTCTTTTAATTCAATAAAATTATGAGTCGAGTTTCTGTAGAATAATTCTGTCCTTGGTGTCCAAAGTTAAGTTGTTTTTTAAACAATGGATTTTAATTTTACAACTGACCCTTGAGCAGCACAAGTTTGAACTGCACAGGTCCACTTATATTTGGATTTTTTATGGTACAATACTCTAAATGTTTTTCTTATATGATTTTTAAAATAATATTTCCTTTTTATTAGCTGTATGACTACAGCTTATAACAGAGTCACAAAGTATGTGTTAATTGTTTATATTATTGGTAAGGATTCCAGTCAACAGTAGTTTTTTAATGGCTTACTTTGGGGAGACTCAGAAGTTATAGGTGTGTTTTTGACTGGTAGGGAAACAGCCTTCCTTATTCCCATGTTCAAGGATCAACTGTACTTACATGTCTTGTAATTTAAGAATTCTGTACTAGAATATCAAACACATTTACACACAGTAAATCAGTTGCTGTCAAAAGATTTATTGAAGAAAAATCAGCAAAATGAAAACAGACCTATTTTAAAAGTCTGTGTCAGGAAAGAATGAAGATACATGTTCTTGAATTGCTAACCAAAAGCATAAGAAGAGTGCGTTATCAGTGCTTAAGACCTGAAAAAAAATTGACAAAAATTCAGGAGAGAAATTTTACAGAAAGAAAATTAAATTGATTCATATGTTTGTGCACAATATTGTTTTTGACAAATTTACATGTTTATAAAATATCATTTTGACTTAGTTTGCATCCAACATGAACCAGGAACCGTATACTATTTCTTACATTTTTTACATGCTAAAAATTACTGAATAACCTTAATTCTTATGGAGGATTGCAAATATATTTTTTAATAGAAGAGAATCATTGGTTGCATGAAAAAGTCTGTTTAGAATTAGCATCTCAGAACTTTTAATACTACAATAATTTTTGAGATATGTTAATTTAGTTCTCATCTCTTCAGCTCACACTAAAATATGCTCTCAAGGGTTAACTAAAATGACATACATCATTAAATGTAGGCAGGAAGTCAGCTTTCTTTATTGCTCTCTGCATATACCTGAAAGCTGGGATTAAAGATTTTATATTAAGATAAATAATTGGATAATAATTGAATTAAATTTTTTGGTACTCAGGGAACTCTTGTATACTGAGTTTTTAAGTTTCCATAAATATATTCTACTGAATGACGACCTCTATTGTTAAGTATCCACATTTTTCTGAGTCGAATACTTGCCTTAAGTGCTCACTTTCTTTAAGTTATTAAGATTTTTGCTTGGTGGGCAAACTTCTTAGATGTTAAAACTAGCTGTCTAGAATTGTTGCTCAATTCTGTGTGGCATCTGTTTTGCTGCTTTTAAATCAGGAACTCATCTGGTTCTTCTTTCAGTAACTTAAAGACACCCATTTCAGTTGTAAAGGCATCTTCCTCATGACTTAGGGTATCTAGGTCAGGGGTAGTTTCTGAAAGTGGCGCGCTGCCCTTAGTTACAAATTCTGTTGCATTATTCTCAGACAGATCTTCATTTGTCAGGGTAGATGAATCCTCCGTGAGGTTCATAGCTACTGATGTAGGGATTACAAAGTCATATCTGGATTCCACAGCAGTGAGCAAAATGGGATGGTTCTCTGCTTCATTTGTGATATCTTTCTCCATCCAAACATTGACTTCATCCATAGACTCTTCATCGGTTAGCAGAATATCGTCAGGGTTATCTTTGTCTCTTTCTACAGTGGTAGTGAGTTCAAACACAGTGATGAACTTTTCCTCATCAGAGTCAGTTAGTTCAGGCACAGGATTGGGGTCATTCTCTGGAAGATTTAAGTCAATTTCAGTTATTTTCTCTTCTGTAAGGGCACTTATGTCTGGAATAGTGAAATTTTTTTCAGTAGCAGTAGAGATTTCAGCCTCAGGAATAGACGAGTTGGTGATCTGGATGGCCTCATTAGCAGTGACATTGGATTTTACTGAGTTACTATAATTGTTATCATCAGGCTTATCCTTCTTAGCTGGAAGATTAGGGGTGTCTGCAATGCTGGTGGTGCCTTCCTTTAATGTGCCAGAGACTTCAGAAGTTATTGAGACATCTTCATTCCCTGGGTCAGTGGTATCCAAGAGAATATCTTCTTTTGCCATGTTAGTGGAAAAATCTATTAAAGAAACAGTTGCACCCGGTGATGAGATATTACCAATTTTCACTGGAATTAAATTTTCAGTAATAGAGTCATTAGCTATTGAGTTTACCGTGCCTGTCAGAGTAGCAATTTCTTTTTCCACATGGGTTGATGATTTAATAATACGAGAGCCAACATTATCTTCTGATTTTAGTTTTTCTTTTGGAGATGTAAGCTTGGTGTCTGTTGTTGAGAAATCACTTTCCAGGGTATAGTCATTTACTGGAGTAATGTGGTCTCCTTCCGAAGTAATGTTTTTTTCTGATTTCGGAATGGTGTTGTCAGCCCCAAAGAAAATGGTTGCTTCAGTTGTTGTTTTACCGCTTTCTGTTGGAGGATGAGAATAAATTTTCGGCAAACCATCTTCAGCCATGGGACAAAATGGCACTATTCACACTCACAGGTCTTTCCCTGGGCCCAGTGGTATCCCTAGGCAGGAGAGTGATGTGCATTATAGTGATTGAAGCATTGGTCATCATGGTGATTGTTGCATCAACCATAGGGCCAGTGGCACAGGCTCTCCTGGTAGGTTTTTTCTGTGCTTTGATTGGGCATCTAGTTTCAAGAGTTATTGGTATTAGATGAAAAGACAATAGAATCCTTTCTCATTATGAAATGATCATTCATAGCTGGACTTCTCATGTTCTTCTTTATAAGGGATCTACCTTCCATTATGGAGCTAGTGTCACTTGAAACAGACATAGCAGAGTCAGCCAGGTATTTGTAGGTTTAGTGTCAGTGGGGAAAACTCTAGGAGCCGTGAGATTATAAGCATTAGCTTTAAGTTATCTGTCTTTCAAATAAGTTAACAATGTTTTTTTGAGGTTAAGCATCTTCTCTTGAGATTTATGGTATTTAAATGTCTAAAAAACATTAATGGCAGTTTTGGCCATGAATGTAGTTGCAAAAGGTAACTAGGTAGCAGGGATTTCAGTTCGTTCTCTTCTTCAGAAAGTGAATTCTCATTTTTTCAAGAAAGTTAATAAGTTACTGGCCTTTTAGGGTTTTTGTAGTTTTCTTCTTCATTGCAGTTCTTACTTTTTCTTGAATTAACATGCTTAACAATGAGAATGTCAGGTTTTGTAGATTTAATTTCATTAGGAGTATTTTTTCTACAGAGGGTGTTATTTCAACCTAAAGCCAGGAAGTTGGCATTATATGTCAAAATTCACCCAGAAGCAAAATTGAAGTATGGAATAACTGTATTAGCTTTAAGAATTATATCTTCAGTTTCAGAGGGACTGTTTTCTATAATGATACTAGTTGTAACAGCCATCATCATTTTGTTATCATTCTTAATGTTTAGCTACTTAGATGAAAGGAGATTATAGCCTACTGTTAGTGTTTGCCCAGTGTCATTAGAAGAAAGAGAATTTTCATACTTAGACACAACTAAATCTGAAAAAGGTTAGTGGCATCAGCCAGAGTAGCAGTTTCCATGTCAAGGGCAAATGCTTTTCTTCATTAGATATGGACTCAACTTCCAAGTTTACAGTGTCTTTTCTTAATTGATTGGCTTGGTGTAGATTATATCACCATTCTCTGTAGAATTAAGATGGGCATTTTTCCCTTTTAAGATACAGCTTATCCAGAAATGTTTTTGCTTCAAGGCGATGTCACTATGGAGGGTCCCATTGTCTTTTTTTTTAATAATAAATTTATTTTTTATTGATGTACAATTTGCCAACATATAGAATAACACCCAGTGCTCATCCGTCAAGTACCCACCTCAGTGCCCATCACCCATTCACCCGCCCCCCCTGCCCACCTCCCCTTCATTGTCTTTATTGACATGGGAAATGCTGTCAGTATCAGGGACGGGGAGGAATGTCTTAAGTTAGTGACAAGCACAGCTTCTTTATTTCTAACTCATTTCCAGTGGCAGTAAAGGAAATCACAAGGTAAAGCCATTCTCTCACTTGGCTAACTCAGTGGGAGGTTTTTTAACCTCTCCTTTTTTCCTTATCTAGAGTTTGTGAGCCTTAATTCAGGAGAAGGCATGCTATAAACAGAAGACTTGGTGTCCTTTTTGGGGGAATCTTTTTCATGTACAAAAGGGGAAAAAAGTTGGAAGTGTTAGCTGTATAATCACTGGAAGTCAGTTTGGAGTACTTGGTATATGTTATATTGAATAATATTAGAATAAAGAGCAAACTATTCATTTTTTATGAACATTTAATTCCTGGTTAGAAATGTCATGTCATATAATATCTTCATAGATACTAATTTGTCACCTTACGTTTAATTTGAGGGATTACTGTTGTGCTCTGTTTCAACTAATATACAACACCAAACTCTGTTTCAACTAATATAGCTGTGAGGTGGGATCACATTGATTATAGCATAATAAGTATTTTCTTTCCTATAGAGGATATTATTACCATTATCTTTTTTAGATCATTATCACCAAAGATATTACTTGACTAAGGATAGAGGATCATATTGTATAGATGAGTTTCATTTTATCTAAATAGTTGTTTCTTCTATAGTTGTAATGTCTATTATACTAATGGAAAGAAATTGTCTTTTCTTAGAGAAGCATTAAGTTTATATTTAAGTAGTAACTTCTTCAGGTCCATAATGAAAAAAAAAAAAGCTTTTCTTAAAATTTTTTTTAAGTGAAAAGGAGGAAGCTGGTAACAAAAGAAGATGTCTCAGTAAGGCCTCAGGAAGGTTATTTGACAATTTATGATTTTCAGGGATACTTGGCTAGGAAGAGTCCTCAGATACAGACTTTGAAAATGCCAATATCATAGTGATACTCACTCTTAAGACTGTCTTTGCCTGGAGAATATCTTGAAATTTATCAGATGATATGTCTTATGCAATTTTAAAAATATCAGTTGAGGTAAGTGGTGTCTCCAATTGATACTGGAATTCCTACTTTTGAAGGAGTCTGTATAACTTCAAATTTTATAAATTTGTTGGAAAAAATAGAGTTAACATTAGGTGCAGTGATTATACAATCATTATTGGAATGTAGTTGTTGAGGAAGTTTCAGGTTCAATATCTTCATTTGTGAGAGAATTCCCAGGCTTCAGAAACAGGGAGGAAGGCGAGGGGAGCAATTATATCTGGATATTTGATTATAGCAAGATCCTTACATTTTTTTTCTCTTACCTTCCAGTGATTGGAATGTTGGGTTCATAAGTAAGGAAATTGTAATTGAAGGATGTGTTGGCCTGTGGTGTCAATTTTTTTGTTTGTTTGTTTCCAAGGAAGATGGCATATATATCAGGGTTATGACACTCATGTCTTCTTTGTTGTTTGTAGGCTTCTCAGGGATATCCTTTAGAGTAATTGTTTCTATATGTGACTGAAGAATATCAGCCCTAAAGAAAATGTTTCCTTCAACCTCCTTGTTAGCTTGCATTACAAAAGAAATTTCTTGAAACTTAGGTAATTTTTTTTTATCTTGACAGTGCATTCTTGTGTATCATTTGTGCTTTCTGAAGTTTGAAATTTAGAATTTTTTGTGCTGAAATTGGCTAATTAAATTCCAACCAAGAATTTTCTTCTACCATGGGAATGATCTCTGTGTAAGATAAAGATTTTCTCTCAGTGGGAATAATGGTGATCACTTCTGTGAACAAGTTTGAGTTCCTGGTAGTGAAGTAAGTTTCCTGAGGAACAGATCCATCTGGGAGGGAATTCTTTGACTTGTGAAGGCTTGAGTAAGCTGCAACAGGGACAATGTCATCATCTTTATTACCTGACTTATTATCATCAATGATATTTTTATTTACAAGATAAGGCTTTAGGTTAGCATCTTTTAGAGAGTTTGTTTCCACCTGAATAACTGGATCATTTCCTGTTGCTCTACTTACATCTATAAGGTGATTCACTTCAGCTGTGTCTTTCATCGCAGAAGCTTTAGTTATTTCCCTTGTGTAATAGAAATTTGGTTTACTGTATTCATTAGGAAAAAGAGGAGAAAACTTGATGGTTGTTTTCTTGGGTTCTGAATGTTGATCACCAAAGGCATCAATATCAAAAATTTTGCTCTTGGTGACAATACTAGCAGATGTGTTAGATTCGGCATTAGCCATATTGTTTGAAGAACCTGTGGAATCAGCTTGGAGAACAGTATAGACCAAAGGGAAAGCCTTTGGGTCTATTTGACTTTTAGTGTTTTGTCCTTCTGAGGCAATGCCTTTACTGAAGTAAGGTAAGTCTGTAGACACAGGCTCTGATGCTGCTGATATTAACAGTGTTGGGTAATATACGTTTGTGCCTTTTATAAGTTTGGAGGCTGCAGTTTCTTTAGCAGAATCTTTAGAAGTTAGGATGAGAATTTCAGGTAGTCCCATAGGTGCAAGTCTTAGAGACCTGATGCTCTCTGATGATGGAAGGCTATAATGACCAATGTTATTTTTGTTCTTAGTAGAAATAACAGGAACGTTTGACATGCTGGCAGACATCTTCTTCAAAGGGTAAAAGAAAGTAAGAACTGAGTTGGTTCCACCTCCTTTGTTTTCTTTCACATTGGAGAGGTCATCACTGGAAAGCCGAACTAAAGGAAAATTACTAAACCTTGAACCAGATACTGTAGCTATACCTGTTTGATCTTCAGTGAAATCAGATATACTAGATGGGGTAGTGTCTGCTCTCTTGAGTGTAAATGTCTTATGAATGGTAGGTGAAATGGTTCTCCTGAGAAAATTACCGGTATTTTCAAAAGCAAGATTAGTGGTATCAGTTGTGAATGTCTTGCTGTCAATTACAGGTTTTACATCTGGAGAAAGGGAATAATACTCTGTTATTTTATTTTCTGAGTCAAAGCCATTAGAGGGAATTACAGTGTCAGCATTACCATTTATGGTGCTTTTTCCTGCAGGTGTTTTGTTGGAAAAACTAGAAGGAAACTTTATACTTGTATCAGTTAGGAAGTGAGTTGTAGGCCTGTGAGTTTTGGTATTGACATTAGCATTGGAATTCTTGAGAGCAATAGCATTAGTGTCAGTGCTATTTTCCTGTTTAGGAATTATAGCTTGGTAATTTTCTTTAGCTTCGAACACTGGAGATATTGTCTTAGATACACTGTTTGAAGCAGCAACTGTGGTATATGGTGCATAAGACATATGTGTCTTGGGGACATACATGAGTGTACCCATTTTTGTCAGGGAATTATTTGCTCTGTCTTCTGATTCGAAGGCATGTATATCTGAGATATATTCAGAACCACTGTCATCAGACATAATAGTTGTATGGTCCATATATACTGGAGTGATTTTGCCTTCAGAAGAAATGTCATCCACCCATTCTGAAATGTCTTCTGGAAAGTAAATGATTCCATATTCAGCGGCCATACCTCTCTTTGGAAGATCTTTATGCTCAGATATATTCCCTTGTAAAGTACTCGCCATGTCTTTT